CTTTCTTTCTGTGCAGGCTGGCTTCCTCTCTTTATTCGCAGTCTCTCCTCTCTCACAACCACATAATAACAGTGCACCCTAGTTCTAGGTCATGACTTCTCCATTTAGTCCTACAGCTCCTGTCTCAGATTCTTTATGCAAGAACTAATTTCTGGGAGAGGACTCTGATTGGTTCATCTCATCTTTCTGAGCCAGGCACAGATTTATTTCCTGCCTGTCGATCAGCTGCTTTTAAATCAGGTATCTACTCTCTGTTCCCAAGGTGGAGGAGGGCAGGATCATGAGATGTAGAATGTGGCCTTGTTCAATCAGCAGGAGCTGTCAGCAGGGCAGTTTCCCTCACAGAAGGGACCCTAGACCTGGCAGGCAATGATGCACATCTCTACAACAATCAGCTCTTGGGGAAAACTGAACTGGCATGAACATTTGACAGGGGACAAGGATTTGTAGTTGGAATGCTTTATAATGTTTATTCAAATTTATGAAAGATAAAACAAAAATGTGTGTGGGAGCACTGATTCTTTAACACACACACACACATTCCCTTTCTTAAGAATTCTTTGAAAAGAAGGGATCGTTCATATGATCTTTCTGAGTGGATGCAATATTACTGGATGTTAAAGCAATATTTTATCTCTTCCCTAACAAGCTAGCCTGAGAGGTGTGCTCATCATGGAGGCAGCTCATAAAAGACTCACCTTTCCAACCCACTATAAAGTCTCAGAGCTCATTCTGGTAAGAAGCAGACCTCAATAAAACACATAACCCTTTTTCCTTATTCCAGTGCTAGAAAATGGATTTTTATCAAATGATTTCTTATGATAAAGTGGCAAATTATAAACCGTCTAATGCCAGAATTCCCTGGCACAAAAGTTTTGAGGAATACATTAAAAGCTCAGGTAGACCTGTTAATATACATATTTTTCATGATAAATAGTGATAAAGGATTTCGAAGTATTTTATTAATACTGAAAGGAAAGGTATTTTCATCTAAGGCAGGGTTTCTTGGCTTTGGCACTGGTGACATTTTGAGCCAGGTGATTCTTTGTTGTGGGGGCTGTGCCGTGTAGTGCATTATGCTGGGAGGCATCCCGGGCCTCTACCCATAGGTGCCAATAGCACACACCATTACTCCCAGTTGTTGTTTTGTTTTTTTTTTTAAAGATTTTATTTATTTATTTATTTGAGAGAGCGAAAATGAGAGAGAGTACATGAGAGGGAGGAGAGTCAGAGGGAGAAGCAGACTCCCTGCCGAGCAGGGAGCCCGATGCGGGACTCGATCCTGGGACTCGATCCCGGGACTCGATCCAGGGACTCCAGGATCATGACCTGAGCCGAAGGCAGTCGCTTAACCAACTGAGCCACCCAGGCGCCCATCATTACTCCCAGTTGTGACAACCAAAACCGTCTCTAGACATTGCTAAATGTCCACTGGGGGCAAAATTGCCCTGGGTTTAAAACCACTGATTTAACCTTTAGTCTCCACAAGAATTATTTTTATTTATGATAAATATTTTCTTATTCCCCTAACATTTTTAGATTTGAAAAGTATGCCCTTTTGGAGTGTAATCGAGCACTATTGATTTGGTATCCTCTCTCTTGCTTTTCTCCAATGAATCAAATTCTCTCATGCCTGAATTAGCCTGACCAATTTCATTAGCCAACTCACACCCATTAATCCCATTAATTTGCGTCAGTGTCAGAGAATCCCCTATGGCCCATAGTTTCTAAATATGTCGCTCTTCCTCTCACAGAGTAGCTTGCATACTTGAGAAAGCTGGTTGAACAACTGTAAGTACATCTTGAATAAAAATCGTTTTAATGTTCTTGTTCAAAGTATCGCTACCTTTAATTTCTTTCTGAAAAATTTTCCATCCTTCCTTGAGTGCTTGCGCTTCAGACTAATGAAGAATTAATAGAAAATCTGTTGAATGAGAGGACAAAATACAGCAATTTTAAGCCTTTCTTTTCCATCTAAAAATGTAATACACCAAAATGAGTCATAGATAGATGTCACTGTTAATATTTCTATTAAGATGCAGCTAGAATAATTTATTTTAAATACAGCAAATAGTTCCTCAGACATGTAAATAATCAATACTCTCAGAGAGAATTTGCCTATCTCACAAGGTTGTGAGAACAAAATGTGACAAGAGATATGAAAAACTATGAGAACCACAGAGCACAGAACATTCTCCAGGAGAAAGAGATTATTGTTATGTGTGCACTATAATAACAAATAGTACAAAAGAAGATATGGCTGTATTTTAAGTCTTTCCATGATGTTCATCATTATCACCATGATTATCATTATCTTCAAAAAAGTTTTCATTAAGTTTATCAATCTCATATGTCCATATTTCCATTTATCCTGGAATCAGGTCATAGATTAGAATAATAATGCTAGAAATACATAAGAAAAGTTGTGAAGGGTGCCACTTCCAAATGTAACATGATACAAGCAGAAATATTTTGCACCGAATTACTTTTTCTTGCAAATAGGGTAATAAATTATTGTTTTAATTTCGAACCATGATGTGATTTTTAGCCAATATTTAGTGAAAACAGAGTAGGAGTTGTGTAGAGCAAAGGTCTCACTGCATGCGTACAGTTCTCTCTCCACAGGAAACAAAATAGTTTCCAGAAAAGGAAGAGAAAAGGTCTACACACATGCACACCCATGCACCCATGCACACGCGCTTACTTAAATCTATGCAGAGATTACTCATGTGTACACTATTTTCTCCTTTTGACTCTCCATTGTTTACTTACCACAAACTCATATTTTCATTATAGTATTTATTATGAGTATTGTTCCGCCATGATAACCCTTTTACTTTACAAGAATAAGTTTTTCCCCATCACACGCCAAAGCTCTATTGAGAAAAAGGTGGAATAAGAATTTAGCCCCAGGGTCTCATTGTGAGGAAATCCTTTGTCCCACTTGTGAAGATCTGGAAGCTAATGACTATCGGGCATGAATACTGAAACAGTGTATTCTGTTGCTAACTGTGCTGCTCACCGAGGCAAAGTTTACATTAACATGTCTGTGGCTAATTATTAATTTTCCTACATTGACTGAATTACAAATAAGAACTGGACACCAAGCCTTGCGATTGATTACAGACAATTGCTTATTTTCATTGTCAGTGGGGTATTTCTGCCTACGAGGGTTTTTTTCCCATAAACATCTCTTTAAAACTAGAAATGCTTATGAAAATGAATATGCACACTCAAAGTAATTTGGAAGCGTGATATTAATCTTGAGATAGCAACAATTTTGAAGTTAATATATTTGTTTAGCATGTTACAGTTTCTAAGGAGGCTTCCCCATAATTTTCCCAAGTAATGTTTATAGTAAGCCAGTAAATGCTATTATTTTTATTTTAAAAACGAGCCATCTGATATATAGAGGGTTAAGTTCATCGTGGCTACATAGCTATACATGTGCTAGATCTTAGAATCAAGGTATTTCGAAATCTAAGGCCCAGAATCTGCCCAATTCATTTTTCTTCCAAAAAGGTGTTATGTTAAGAAATTGAAGACAATACAGTTGAGAATAGTAGCATTTGAGAAGGGAATTGTATGTAACACTGTGGATTTTCTTTTTTGTTAAATGTAGGTAAAGTGGAAGGAGCTTTTAGACCTTTAAGGTGTGTGTGATTAATCTTGTGTGATTAATAGTGAAGAGCTAATGAACAAGAAAGGGTGCCTTCTGAGTAAACAGTGTAAGTGTTCTTGAATATAATGGTTAAAGGACACTGGAACTCATTATCCAGAATGAATATTGTTTTGTATTTTGGGATTTTTCAGAAATGCATATAGATCCATAAAGCATTCTAAATAAAGTACGGTTTGCCCAGATGTGAGGTATGATGTGGTCAGTTGTGTAGACAACAATAGCAGTACACAGACATTGTGCAGGAGTTCTGCAGTGTTTTCTTAACTGCTGCGAAAGCATTCACAGTCACTACTGATAAATAAATATCCTGTAAAAGAAAAAGTGAACTTTCTATTTTTATTACATTGGGACTCACATCTTAAAGACTATGATTTTACTGCTACCATTTTTTAATGGACAATTACACTTTGTATTACTAGAGCTCTTTAAAAACAGACAGCTAAAACTCAGATAATCATCATGGTTCCTCTCTAGTAGCTTGATTTATTTATTGAGCCCAAATCTTCCTGTCTCTCACTGCCAGGGGAAATCTGGGTGGAAAAAAAAAAAAATGCAAAAGGACGTCCTTAGTGTTACCTTTTACAAGAGGTGAGGAAACAAACTCAAATACAAACCCATCTCTGAAGTCAAACCAGTTCTTAAAACAAAGCAGGTATGAGATAAGAGAGAAATAGTTGAGCAGTTCCACCATTGATTTCAGTTCTCAGGCCAAATAAATATCTCCATCCAAACGTGCTTTATAAACTACTTTTTAGTACCAGTAGACAAGTTGTAATTTGCTAGAAAGATCCAGATAATGGTAATTGATGACCTTTATAAGGCAAAGAGCAGTATTCATTCAAAAGGCATTTGCAGTTTGGAAAACACCTCCTTTCAAGTGCATCAATCTTTAGTTATTATTGAGCACACGTTTCCCCCCCGCAAATAGTACCATAAATATAATATCCAGAGGTAGATTTTTGTGAACATGGATCTCTCAGCACAACTTTCCTTTATGACCTCACCCCATGACCATTACCTTAACTTCAAACCTCAAAATTCAATTAAATGGATTTTCCCTACATTGGAGTGAACACTTGTGCATGCCCTCAGTTATTGCTCTGGCACTTCTAACCTGTTGGTTGCCCTATACCTGGAGGTGCATATTTCCGTGTATTCAGGTGTAACTTCGGGGACAGCAGGACAGTGGTCTCTGGGAACATATGATACCACAGACTGTCACTTTCATGACGAAAGGCCTTTGATGATGATCGTGATGATGATGATGATGATGATGATGATCAAATTTTTTGGGTTTTGTGTTTCATTTGTTTCACAGGATTATACACTCACCATGTATTTCCAGCAGTCTTGGAAAGACAAAAGGCTTTCTTATTCTGGAATCCCGCTAAACCTCACGTTAGACAACAGGGTAGCTGACCAACTCTGGGTGCCAGACACCTACTTTCTGAATGACAAGAAATCATTTGTGCATGGGGTTACGGTGAAAAATCGAATGATCCGACTGCATCCTGATGGAACGGTTCTCTACGGACTCCGGTAAATGACTTTGTGTTGCATGGTTCACTGTTACTGTTGTTCTTGTCGTTAGGTTTTATTTTTTACTTTTGGGAATGGGCAGTGGGAAGAGAAGCAAGTAGGAGAATATAGAGACACTTTCATCTCCATAACAAAATTAAATTAAAGACTGGAAAATCTCTTTTGGAATCATTGGAGTTAAACCTAGGCAATTTTGTTCATCAAAGGTAAGTGAATTATTTGCCCTGAACTTCCAATAATAAACAGAGTAATAAGAAAATGTATGTTTGCCAGATTTTGTATCTAACTTATTGTAGAAGTTAAATCTTTTTTTAGCTGATTGCTTGATTATCTCAGAGCCACCCAGACCGAACTGAAATGTGTTCTAAGTACTTAATTATGAAAGAGAATTAGGAAACAATATCTTGAAGAAGTAGGAAAATAATTTTTGGTGACTTTGAGAAGATTCATAGTGTTTTCACTCCCTTAAATCCCTCTTTTAGTGTTTGCATTTAGGTATATGATCCATATTGAATTAATTTTTGTGTTTCATGTAAGGTAAGGGTTGAGGTTCAATTTTTTCCATATGAATATCCAGTTATATAATTTACTGAAAAGATTCTTCTTTTCCCACCAGATTGTGTTGATGCCTCTGACTGGATAAGTGGGGGTCTAGTTCTAGGCTCTACTCTGTTCCATTGTTCTTTTTGTCTATCCACAAGCAGTATCACACTATTTTAATTATAATAGCTATATGTTAAATCATAAAATAGTGTAAATCCTCCAACTTTGTACTTACTGTTTAAGATTGCTATGGATATTCTAGGCCTTGTGCTTCTTCCTATGACTTTTAGAATCAACTTGTTGATTTCCACCCAAAAAGTCTGCTGGAATTATAATTCATATTGCATTGACTCTGTAGATCAATTTGGGGAGAATGAATATCTTAAAATTATCTAATATTCTAATCCATGAATATGATATACCTTCATTTATTTAGGTTACCTTTAATTTATATCAAAATGTTTTACACCATAATGGGTTTTATTTTGTTTATTTGGCTTTTTATGTATCAAGTATAAAAGAGGTATGATACACCTGTAGTGGTCTATTATTAACCCTCATTTGGTTAATGGTTTATTAAAAATTTTAGAGCTATAATTCAAATCAGCTTCCCATTTTACCAAAGAAATACCTGAATTGTGGCATATTATTGTAGGATATGTAGAGTGGTGGTTCTTTAACCTTTGTTGTCACCTTTCATGATATCTTTGAGAAGCTGATGAGAGCTATATTCACAAAATCATATATGCGCCAAATTTTCCCATTATTTAATAGGGTCTTCATAAGCCCCCTAAAACTCTTCACACACCATCCACACCAAGCTAAAACTCTAGACAAGGGATAAAATGCTACAATTAATTTCTGTATATTCACGGATACCCAAAAACAATATGCAAGTGAAAAAAATTGCACTTTTTTTCTGCACTAAGTTCTGCGCTAAAACTTCTGAACTTAACCCAGTGGTTGATTATTTATTTGATCGTTCTGGACTTCATCTGCATAGTAAAACAGCATTAGTTGCAAAATAACATTTGTAATTTCTCCACTTTTTCAGTACCCCAAGAGCTTTCAATTCTAGTTTAAAATCTCTGACCTAAAAATCTCTCAGAAAAATGGTAAAATAAACCAACAATTCCCTTGAGTGTATTGATAGTTACTACTGACAAAATCTCCTAATCCAAGATCAATAGTGATCATCAGTGATGGTGCCTACACTGGAAATCAGTTGTAATTTTTTGTCACCTATGAAACTTCTACCGGATATAACCAAGGTGTAAAGGGACAAATTACTCTTCTAAAGTATTCTGGGAGAATAATTCCATAACCCAACGTAGTAAGCTAATCAATTACATGTATAATCACTATATGTGATTAGTGAAGAATGTATAAAAAGTTGTTTTTGTTTAAAAGAAAAAGGAACCAGGTTTTTTACAGGCAAGAAAGTAGTTTGCATTCTCAGTTTACAGAGTCTCACTTCAGGCATTTCTCAAATTATTGGTAGCCTCTACCAATGGGAACTGATGGAAAGGGAGAAAAATATTTGAGAACCATGAAGTTGAACACACCTCATTGTAAACTGATAAAACTGAGGCACAAAACAGGAAGGATTTTTTCTAAGGGCACAACAAAGTAATGGCAGAATTGGGACTAAAATCCAGGTATCCTGATTCCCATACATGTGCTTTTCCTACCCCACTGCCTTTCATACACATTTAGAAGTCAACACCTCCTTCCAAGTTGTACAAGATTGCTTTCTTCTCTTTGGAGCCAACCCAGGCTTGGAGCCCCCAGACAGATCTCCCAAAGGTAAACACAAATCCTTCCTTTATTATGTGAACTCTGATCTCTTTTGGCACCAGCATTCTCCATAAGAGCTTCACACCATTTCTGATATTTCTCTTTCCTTGTTTTCTTCCCTACCTCTTCCCCCCAAAGGTTTGTTTTTCTTTTCCTGGAGTTTATAAACATCCTGGAGAAACCATAAGATATAGCAAAGAAAGCATGACATCTGGAGTCAAAGGACCAAAAATGGGCTCAAACTCCAACAGTTCTGATTGTTTGACCTTGAACAAGTGACACAAATTTACTGAGTTTTAGTTCTAGCACCTGCAATAATGGATTAATAATCCCTGATACATAATTGGGAAATTCTTATGAAATAATGATTATGTTAATACATGGTTAATTCTAAATTATATTTTTCTAAGTCATTGTGCCTTATATAGCCTTAATAGGTGCTGGAAAAACTGCACATGGAGGGTGATTCTCTAATTCCCAGGGGCGTCAGTGACCAAAACAGAGATACAGTTGTCCAATTAAAAACAAAACAAAAAAACATTCAGGGACATCTGGGTGGCGGCTCAGTTGATTAAGCATCCAAGTCTTGGTTTAAGCTCAGGTCATGATCTTAGGGTCTTGAGATCAAGCCCCACATCAGGCTCTGCGCTAAGCGGGGAATCCACTTGAGATTCTTTCCCCTCCCTCTCCCTCCCCCTGTGCCCCTCCCCCTGCTCACACAGTGCTCCCTCTCTCTCTCTCTCTCAAAATAAATAATTTAAAAAAATTCAATGAGTGCCCAGTATATGCCATATATTCACTGTTCTGGCCCTGGAAATAATTCCTCAGAAGCCTGATAGAAATTTGTCATTGTGGCAGAGGGAAACTGTGCAGTGACTGTGGGTCAGAAGACTTGAGGCTGAACTAGATTGTGCTCTTCAGTAAGCTATTTCCTCCTCTGGGCTTCAGATCCCTCAGACTTAAAGGGAAGAGATTGCATATAATTCTCCCTAAATTCCCTTCCAAATCTAACTTTCATTGCTTCTATGGTCCTATATATTCAGGCATGTTTATTTTAATTCTTCTGATATAACATTTCTTAGTCTTAGAAATGAGGATCTGCATTTTTTTTCTTTGTAATTGCCTTTTTAAGGGTAACTGCCATGTATTACTTCCTAAGCACATGTACTAGAAAGTCCTTATCATATAACATATGTATTGGCATATTTATAGCTGTACTTATTTTAGACATGGATAATGAGGAGAAAGAAATTCTTGCCTTATCCTTTTCCATAAGTCCAGCTAATAGTCATTATGAAATGAGGCCATACACTAACGGGTTGTTTTTAGCATTGATGGGATCAATGGGATTTTCTGAATGTAACTGAAAGCCCCTTCAACCAGGAATTCCATAATCACAAGACCATATCATTAAGCTAAATAACAGTGTTTCTATATTCAGACTCATTATGAGATGCTCAGACAATGGGTATGAAGCCACAGGAATAAAATTGGTGGTTTTCTATTTTTGTGAACTATGTCAGATCAGACTTGCCACACAAGGAAGATCACACAATTGTGATAACGCTTTAAAAAAACAGAATGGTGTCTGATGGGAGTCTAGTGCTTTTGGAGGAGCCAGGCTGCTGTGCGGCTGGCGCTCAGCAAATAGAGGAGACTCCATTCCTTATGTTTTTTGCTACCAGGTTACTGCTGCTGTGACAAAATGCATTGTACCAAGGAGCAGCGCCACACTCACTATTACTTCTTCCATTTTGCTCGAGATCTACATAAAAGATGTCTGTGATGTGCCGTAAGATGTGGCAGGAGACTGGAACTTACGTCTGTGTCCCTTGACCGCTCCACCCTGCTCCTTTCAAAGCACATAATGGCACTTCTTTCCTTACTCAGACGTGGAGACTGAACAACCAAATTCCTCAGCGTCATGGCATCAAAGCCTTAAACTTTGGTCTTTCCTCCCCTCCATTTAACTCTGAGGATGATTTTCTCCTCTTTCGAATGCCAATCTCTCCACATATGCATTTAATTTTCTTGCTGCACACTCTTTTCAGACTTTGCTCCATTCTTTTAGCAAATCTTCAGTCTTCCCTCCCCACTGGCTCCTTCCCCTTGGTTTTGCCCTCAAACACCAGTCCTCTCACATCTTACATCTTTGGTTTCCTCTGCTCTCTCACCATTTACTGCTCAGTCTCCAAAACCGTGGCCCCACCCATGCTACTTTCCTGAAACAACTCTCCAAAATTACCAGCACTGTTGCTGGTTCTCAATCTATACTCTTGGGTTCTCTGAATGATTTAAGAGTGGTGACTGACCTGGACTTCAGGATTTCCAAGACTTGGAGCAGTTTTTTCATTATTGCTGTTCTTCTGGTCTTTTTGCTCTTCCCTCATTGGTTCCTCTCTGGCCTCTAATGGTGAATTAGCGGGATTCCTTGAGGTTTGACCAACTCACTAAGGTGACAGCTTAAATATCTAAAATCCCAAATTATTGAGTTCAGAAAAATATTTGTAATTGCTTACTGAGCATCTGTATCTGGACACCCACCTGGCCAGATCCCCCTGACATGACCCTTGTTTCCTATTATCTGTTTTTTTTCCTAAAACCAGATTCTCCTCCTTATACATCTGCTAACAAAAATCGTCATCCTCCAAGTCAATAGG